GGCTGTCTGCCCATCTGCCGCCTCTTTGTCCTGTTTGCTCCGTTACTCCCATGCCCTGGTGCGTAGTGCCTGGTGCTGGCACGTTACCCTTGAATATTTTCTTTGGGCGGGTGTGGGAAGCGTCCTCCTTTATTTTTGTTTTTGTTTGATTTTGATCGGTTTCCGAGGGCTCTTTTCTCGAACGGTCGGTGCGGTACCTGTTATTTTCTTTCCATCATTTTGTTTTCTTTTTCCGAGTGGTTTGTACCCTATTCTTGTTTTGTTTCCCCGCGGCGTCGTATGTGCCGGGTTTTGAGACCACGGGCCTCCCATATTTTGTGGACTTTATATAGAGCTAATGTGAGAAACAACAACAACAACAACAACAACAACATTCCAGTATCGGGAGCTGTACTAAAAGTACTGCTTTTATTCCAGTATCGAGAGCTGTACTAAAAGTACTGAAACTTTTATTCCAGTATCGAGAGCTGTACTAAAACAGCCAGTACATTCCAGTATCAAGAGCCGTACTAAGGGTGCAGTTTATTCCAGTACCGCGAGCTGTACTAAAAGTACTGAAACTTTTATTCCAGTATCGAGAGCTGTACTAAAACAGCCAGTACATTCCAGTATGCCTCGCAGGTACTGAATACTGTGCAGTACCGCCAGTATCAAGCGCTGTACTGAAGCGTGCAGTGTTGCGCAGTATTACACCAGTACAGGATGGAGAGTAGACCTCCACCAGAGCTCGTACTGAGCGAGCTTACTGATAGGTTGAGCGGAGTATCTAGAGCCGTACTATAATAAGAGTGACAATATCTACTACAGTAGTAGGGTTAAGAGACTGCTGTCTTGGTCAGTAGGGATAGCACAGATGCACAGATGCATATGCATGAAGCACCGAAGCAGTACTAGCACTACCACTTCTCCACGTGCACTTCACACTTCGCCCTTTGGGAAATCCTAATCCTAATCCTAATTCTATCTACGCTGCTTTGAAAACTCCCCTCCTCCCCACCCGATGCTCCCTCGCCCCGTCCCTCGGTCTTGGCGGTCATGTGTAGCAGCAGGAGTGGGACTGTAGGACTAGACCAATTGGGCGAGGCTGTGCCGCATTTGTGCCAGAAGATGACGTCACCAACACGCCCTTCGGTGGATTTCGGGTAGATACCGGGTAGATACGGGCAGTCGTACGACCCCTACCGTCTAGTATCGACACCCGTTCTAAAGCATGCAGTACGTTTGTTCCAGTATTGAAGTCCGCACTAAAGCAGCCAGTACAGTACCGTATCGAAAGCTGTACTAAAAGTACTGAAACTTTTATTCCAGTACATNAGCTGTACTAAAAGTACTGAAACTTTTATTCCAGTATCAAGAGCTGTACTAAAACAGCCAGTACATTCCAGTATCAAGAGCCGTACTAAGCGTGCAGTTTATTCCAGTATCGAGAGCTGTATTAAAAGTACTGAAACTTTTATTCCAGTATCGAAAGCTGTGCTAAAAGTACTGACACTTTTATTCCAGTATCGAGAGCTGTACTAAAACAGCCAGTATTCCAGTATGCCTCGCAGGTACTGAATACTGTGCAGTCCGCCAGTACTATACTGTACTAAGCACACCCGTGAAAAATTTACGAAATGTGCGGGTGAAAGCGAAATATAGCTGACAAGCTCTCGTGAGTACCAAACTTCGACGTTGGCACCGTTGACGAGGGAAAGGGATGACTGGACCCTTTTCGCGATGAAAGTAAAATTCAGTAAGCACCGCAGGAGGAAGGTGGGGCATGAAAAGAAATACAAAGAAAAATACTGCGTTGTTGAGCCTGTTACCCATAGGGGAGATATCGTTGTATGCTGTCTGGGAAACCGTAGACATAAAGGTAGGTAGCCTTTCGCTCACGCTATGGATTCATTGCTAATCTATCTTTGACTTATCTCTATAGAAAAGAGATGGATTTGTTGTGTGATATCAAGAAAAAAAAAAAAAAAAGAGAAAAGCCCTGGTGTTTACCCCCTCCGGTGTGACCCTGGATTTTTTTTTTCTCGCTCATCATCGGATTCTGTCATCTGCCCCTCTGGCCCCTATCCTCCACTTCTACTAGCTAGACGACCCAACCAGGGTCACATAGGAGGGGGGGGCTGGACCCCCTCCTGCAGTTCCTGCCTGATGGTTGTAGTTGTACGAAAAAATACACTGAAAAGTGTAGTACTCTACATACGCTGAAACGTGTAGTACACGTTTCACCACGAAAAATGGGAGGACTGTCGCCATAATAAATAGATAGGACGAAAACACACACACACACACATGATCCGAAGGATAGCTTAGCCTCCCCCATGCTGCCCCCTCACGGGGTCCCAGTTCATGGTAGATAGAAGTGTTTTGTGTTTTCAACCACACTAAGACTGACGTCTTTTCATTGGTCAGC